AGTTTTTTACTCCCATTGAGTAACACAAAGCCAAATGACGTCTTCCTCCTTGCCCTGTAACATCGCCTTTTCATGGCAGAGTTGTCCTCGTTACCTCTTTCTCAGTTGAATGAGTCGGTGGAGATTGGGGTCTCACCCCACACGGTACCGCACAGACTCATCAGAAGATGTGATATTGGCTCTGAAGAATATAAACTCTCCTCCCTTAATAAACACATGTATCCAAAAAATCCTCTGTGGATGCCTGAAATGCACCTTTATTATACAACAGTCACTTCTGCATGGTTTATTTCAGCAAGATACTGGTGTTTATGCCTGACACCACTGCAGAGTTTTTCTAGAAGTACCTCTAGGATCACCCCTGCCCTGGGGGCTAGAAGCAATTGCAGAAGAGCAAAATTTAGAAAATCAGGCCACATTTCAATGCACGTGAAAACCTGATTAATAGAAGAGATGCAGCATTGTTCTGGACAACTTGCAGTTGTAAATAGGAAGGCTCTTGAGCCCCTGGCAAGTAAATGATGAGGCCATGCGAAGAGGACATGAGCAGCCAACAAGGAGGAGGAGCAGAAGAAAAGGAGACTGCACTACAGCAAAGTTCATGGATAACACCAGAAAGGCAACGCAACTGAGCCAGACACGGGGAAGTAGATATCGTGTGATTTATGGTTACGTGCTGAAAAGGAGTGGATCGAAGAAGGAAGAGGGAAGGAAATCTATAGATGTTTTATGTGGTGGAGAGTCATGCAGACTTACGTCTGAGGGGAACCACAGGAGCTGGCATTGCTATGGAGATATTTTGGGAGCATGCCGCCAAGCTCTGTTCTGAAATCAAGAATAAAGATGAAGAAAGAATTGAGAGCCAGCAGCAGGGAAGAAGACAAGCAAAGCACGGAGGAGAGAAATTCCTTCACTGTGACCAAAGAGCATCCTGCACTGAAGTTTTCCATAGATGAACACATGAACTGAAAGGGCGCACAGCTATGAGGCTTTGAATTTTGAAAGCACCTTTGCCTAAACACCGTCTCATCTTACTCACTGACTGGACTGACTCATTTTCCATTTGTCAGCCATGTTAAATACACTTGCTATGGGTTTCAGGTTACCTTCTCACATTCTTTTTCTTTTTTCCCTTTTTTTTTTTGTGACTGTTATTTTAACTATTCCACCTTTAAGGAGAGTATTTGAAGACACAACATGTCATTACAGAAATAGCACAATCATGATATTTCCATAGATCCTATGTGACTCCTGAAACCAACGGTGTAAACTGCTGTTATACGCTGCATTGCAAGTTGAAAAAAATCAGTCTGGTCCCTTAATGAGACGGAATTAACTTGAATAATGAGCCAATGCTCATTTTTACTAGGCCTGATTCTTCTTTTTTTTTTTTTTAAAACAGGCAAACAAAAAATCCTAGATTTTTCTCTGGTGCGTTTTTGTTGTAAATTTTGCCAAGTGTTATCTTCTTCAAAGGTTACACTTTCTCCCCTCTTTTCTGCTCATTTTTCACTAAGGCATAACCAGGAGGTCATTTAAAGCTCTCCCATCTCCCTAGGCCAACAGATGTCAGTCTGATAGTGCAGTGGTTTTGGTGTACTATTGCTTATCACGTTTTTGCCCTTTAGGTGCCAACCTGGATTCACTGGAGCAAGATGTACTGAAACTCTGCCCATGAAAATCCAAAACCAAGAAAGTATGTTAAAATAATCTGAACTTTGCTTTCTTCCCCAACTACAGCAACAAAATCAATAGTACTTGGTGTTTTCACAGTTCAGCTGGAACTGGCCTCTTTATGCACTAATTTATGACCTGATTCGCTAAACTGGCATCTGTACACCATGGCATTATCGACCTCCAAAACGTTTCTCATTTGTGTGATTTTTAATCTTTCCGTCCATTCACAGATGCATTTGTATTGCACACGCTGGCAGCTTTCTCGTTTGGGAGACTGCTGTAAAGTGCCACTCTAAAAGAGCAAACTCATCGAGATGAGTGATGTACAGATCTTGTTTCCTAGCTGCCTTGTGAAAAAGTACACTCTAAAAGCAATTTGGGAATTCGGAACGGTGAATTTCTCTCTCATACCTTGAAACGCACTTTGATCCGGACTGGTTTGGTTTTGGTCGGTTTTTCTAGGGGGGATTTCTTTTTCGCTTCACAGAGCAAGCGAGTTGCTCTCAACATCTTGAGCCATTTTGACACGCTAAACCGAGATTCAGTTTCTGAAAGTGAACTCACCAAGTCGTATCAGTTCACACTGAAGGAGCTTCTTTCTTAGCATATATTCACCTCTTCTCTTTTCTCTGTTTTTTCTCTACCATTTTTTTTGTTTGTTTTTCCTCTCAGGTGCCCAAATGAATTTACTGGTGATCGCTGCCAAAACTACGTAATGGCCAGCTTCTACAGTACGTCCACTACCTTTCTGTCTGTGCCGCAGTAGAAGCATGCTCAGTCGGTGCTGCTTTCTTGTTGCTGCATCTTTCCTCCGATTTTTTTTTTTTTTAATCTGTAACTCGATTTGTTGCCTTAGGCCTAATATTGATCGTCTCTGCCTGTTGCATGAAAATGATAACAAAAAGCAATTGCAATACTCTCCTGGATTGTTTGGCGTTGAGGTTATGGGGAAATGCAAGACACAGGAATGCTGTGAAATTAACACTGAATGGCGTGATATGGACTCCCCAGTGATATGAAGCAGTAAAAGTGCAAAAATTACATTTTGAAAGTCTCACGTTTTATTTGCCACAAAAAGCATACGAATCGTTATACAGGGCAGTATACTCCCCCAATAAAGGGACACATAGCTAAACCTCTACTTTTGTATGAGATTTGTACTTGGAATGACAAGTTAAAGGTAATTCACATGCTTGCATTGTTTCGAGTGAGCGCGCTCAAAACAGGATGAAAGTGCTCTTTCGGCTCATTGTTCAAGTTTCAGTGGAAAGAGAGCACAGAAGAAAAGAAAGAAAAAGAAAAGGGGGAGGGAGGTCATAAACAACGGGGGCTGACATTTTTATTTGTTAGTGACAGGTGCAAAAGATCAAGTATTTCAGAGCCAGATTAATTGGCCAAAGAAATGTGCCACATAGGCCCCCGTTGGAGCTCAACACACGCACACCCAAAAAAGAGAGGAATCTGTCTGTGTGAGACTGCTGGTTAAATCCACACTGCAGTCGGATCACCTTGTAATATTTCCCATGGAGGGACTGGTTAATTATTATTAATTGTCAGCACGAAAGCAGAAAGTACACTGAATATTTATTTTCTTTCATAGGCTATAACAAAGTCAAAGGGAAAACATAAGAAAATTGCATAGGTTTTACATTTTTAATGTATGTGTGCTATTCATAATTAATAGTTGCTGGCATCAGAATTTACTATGATCTAAGAGGAATACAATAAGAAGTTGGTTTTTTTTTTTTTTTGATGGATTGCTTACCAGCATGGAAAGATTTTAGAGACTATAGGATAGCTTAATTTAATTTCCATTAGTACATAGGACAAAAAGCTGTTAGCATGTGCTGGACATTTTGGAGCCTGAAGAGATGCATAGGTTTTCTCTTACACTGATGGCTGAAAAATGTCCATACATAATTCATGTTGCCCATCATGGAACTTACCCATGAAAATCCCAGGGGCACTGACTGCAGACCAGACCTTCTAGCATTCAAGTGTTTATTTCATCCTGTGTTTTAAGAGGTTTATTAGTGTTAGTTATTTTTAACATGTTGCCAGCACCTATGAATTTAAAAATATTTAAGCTATTACAGTGTTTTATTCTACTAAGTGTTAGATTTAAATGTTCTTTTCTGTTTACTGTAATGAAAAGTAAAGTTAAGGTTTCCTAAGCTTAGAAGAGCCATTTAAAAGGAAATGGTATAAAAAGATAAGATCCACTTTTTCCACTTTTTGAAAATGAATTTACCCTTGAAAATATGAAAGAATTGTATGTGGATGATAAAATCACTTTCCTTCCCAGAAAAACAAAAAAAAAAAAGGAGAGAGAGAGAGAGAGAGACTTAGGTGGGTATCCTCTCTCATTAGTTTTTCAGTTTCCTAACTCTGGTTGGGATTTTTAAAGGAATCTTTGGGCAGTAGACACCGCGCTGGCATTTTATGAAGCTGCCTTCATGAAAAAGGCACAGATATCCTTGCCTTGCAGCAGGAGATATGCTCAGTTACATACATTTAAGCCAGTCCAGCCCACATCTCCTTGCTCTGTGGTGGCAGGAGGGCAGCCAGCAAACTACCTTTAGGCTCCTCTGCAAATCCCCACCAATGACTATTGGATTCCAGCATCTTCTGCCCACTGCATCTGCAGCATAACATCCGTTTTCTGAAGTGGCTGCAGATTTTAAAATGACACTTTTGGAAGGAATCCAGGGAGGGCACATTTATATTTAGCAGAAAAATCAATGAAGAAGCATTTATATAATTTTTTGTTATTTCACCCAACATAGAGCAGGGCATACAATTAAAAAGGGGACTTAGGAAGAGTTCTCTTCAGGCAAGCACTTGATTTGGGGCTGAAAGGCGAGTTCGTATTTTGCACAAAGTGTAGCAGGTGATTAATTCTATTTAGCTCTGTCGAAGCAGCTTCTGCAAATTATAGAGAAAAGCAGGATGTTAAATAAAGCAAGTGCCAGTAGGAAACACAAACGTATATGTGAACTATACAGTGCCATATCATTTTAATTGATTTCAGAAGGGTCTCTTTCCATACAGAACAGAAGGTTCAATAGGACTCTATGCAAAGTGCATCTACTGATGAGCTGTTACTATCTTAAGGCTGTATTTTTGGCTGTTGAGAAAAAGCTAGCTTCAGAAATCTGCTCAAGAGTTGATTTTTGTAAAAGTCCTGAAGTTAGCAAGAATTTTGCTGGGGGCCTTTTGCTGAATCAGAGGTAGATCAATGCTGATCATTTTGAAACCTCCCCCACCCCGCCCCCAACCCTAGCAGGGTGCAAGACTAACTCGCTTATCTTGGGAGTGATTTGTTTAGCCCCGGAGGATTTAGTTTTCTGGGTGCACTGAAAATAGGTTGAAAAAGGACTGAGTTAGTTAGATCTCCATTGTAAGAAAACTTGAAAATTAAGAAAACTGAAGAACCAGCATTCGCTTCTGGCAGTGGAGACTTGAGCGTGACTGGGAAGGGGTATGAGGGAGACTCCTGGAAGGCACTTGTTCAGGCTGACAGTCCCTTGGTGTCCAGCTTTGCAAATACACTAAATCATAGGGCAAAATGTCACGGCTGAGAGGTGACAGTTGTTGGTCTCCCCCCTGCCATAGTCACCTCCAGCACCGCAGCTGCACAGCCTTTCACTTTTACCTGGTGCTTCCTGCCACTGCAAGCAAGGGGAGATGAAGGAGAAACTGTGCTGCTGTCTGCAGCCCGGCTGGCAGATCCTGTAACATCCTTCCCTTGAGCAGAGCAACCACACCTGCTGCTGGATGTTTTGCCTGGTCCCCTCAAACTGCCCAGCCTCACCAAATGAGGAAGGGGAGATTTCAGAGACACACAATAGGGAATATGCACAAATCCACTGCATGGGTGTTGGCCAGGAGTTTGTGCCGCATCCACAGATCTCAGGTGATGCCACAGCACCAGCTGTCTTTTTGCTGCAGTGGTTTTAACCTTGGAGCTCATAAGTCATCAGAAACAGGTCCATAAAAGTGTTGCAAAAATGCATGTGTTCCATGCAGATACATTTTCTGTATTTGAATTTTCACACATTCCCACACTTGAAGGAAAGGAAGCAAAGCAAATGAAGGACAATGAAAGTAATGACTCAACCTTAAAAGTTTAGGCTGCTTTTTTACATAGTTGTCCATGAGAGTTATTACACCAGCATTGTGCAGAATGGTCCTTGGATTCAGAAAGAATTAGGGAACCTTAGATTAATAAAAGCTTGAAGGCACTTCTCTAGAGCATAATCACAGGTAAACGGTGTGTCCTTCCAACGTGTCCCAGATGGACCAAGGACCCCTTTCCAAAGGACTAGCTTACTTGCTTACTTTACTGGTTAGTAATTATATCTGTGCTATGACGTGCAACATTTCGAGGGGCATACCGTAAGCAGCCTCATGCATGGATTGGATGTGCAAAAAGATCCCCACATTCCTGAAGTTAAGTATGCTGGCATGGGGCACCAGTTTAAACTGCGCTCCGTTTCAGCTCTGCCATCCTTACTGAGCCATCAGTCCAGGAAGGGCAGAGGGAAATTCGTGTTTAGATGATACCTTCTGGCCCATACTCTCAAGATGTGCTTGGCTGAGGAATTAAAGGGGGGATCAGACAAGAGCTGGGTAAGGCTATGATATATTAGAGAGATGACGACAGCTCCACTGTAGATTGGAATAGCCTCAATTTTTTGCTCTTTCCGCATAGACTACATGTCTTGAAAAGTCTAGTGTTCAGCACTTCTACTAATTCAGCAGAGTAGCTCTGTTCCACTATATTTCTCAAGTGGTCATGTATTTCTGAGTTTATTAGATAATATTACTTGAAATTTCCAGTTTCTGATGCATTCAGTACCCTGTGTTGTGCTCTTCATGTGCTGAGACCAAAACTCCTAAATGATAAAAGCAAATGTGAAAAATGTTTTTGTCCATCTTCTGGCCAAAGTTAAGAAAGGAAGACTATAAACTGCTCAGTTAGTGCTCGTGAAACTCTAAAGCTGCTGTGATAAAACATAGTGGGGGTTCATTAACAAAGGACTTCTGAGATTTGGACTAGTTTTAGGGTAACACTTCTACAGGAGCTGTAGGACTTTACCTCGCGTATTCAAAATGACTTTTTCAGCCTGAGCACCATGAAAAGGGGCTGAGACTTAGGGTCCAAAGTGCCTGTGCCATGCAAAGCAAGGGCGTCCCATCCCCTCAAGCACAACTGGCTGACATATAGGGTTTTTGATTGGTGACAGTTCTGTGGATTCTAGCTTGCTTTCAACCCAAATTTCATGAAAACCAAACTTTTAGGATTTCTCGTGATGCAAAGAACTCAACTAATAATAAAATTAAATCACGATTTAAGAAAAAACACAGCTTAATGTTTCAAGTGAAACTGGTGACCCTGGACCATTCTGCTGCTGCGGGTGGTTGATCCGAGGGGGTAGTTCCCCTTGCCAGATACTAGCTACTCACAAAATGCCCTCTTGCTCTGCTTGCCCCCAGCCAGGCAGCCCCGTGGCCCTGCGCTACCTGGCCACCTAGAGTTTTAGAGCGCTTTAGAGTGCCATCTCAAAATCTTGGGTGTCTAGCAGCTGTCAGACACAGTTCATGAGCAGAGTACACACTCTCAGAGGACCTGTTCCAGCATTTCCAATCCTGCAACCCCTTCCCCCCAGAAACTCACATAGAATTAAAATTGTTATTAAAAATAATTAATTGTATTTCTTATTAAAGCTGCAGGACAATTTTTCAATGGAAAACACTCTGTATTTAATAAATATTCAGTAATATTGGATTAAATAGGAAAAGATCAAAAGTAATGACCTGCTCATCGAATGAAAAGTGTTGGGGTACTCTGCTTTCTTTTAATCAGGGCCAGGAAATGTAGCTATTCATAGCAGAGATAAATAAGAGCTATATGGAGTTTAGGTTTGAATAAGCATTGCATGTTTCTTCAGCATGTTTTCTTGTTAGGGCTTTCAGGCAGAATATATTCCCATTTTAAGTTTCAATTTCCCATTGAATTATTTGAAATAGAAACTGCATGATATGAATGACTTCCCCTAAAATTAAATTACATCTAGGCTAGCAGTCTTACTTATAAGCAAGCATAAATACAGTAATACATATGCATGGGCATGTCATTCATTTTATTGAAGATTTAACCAAGCTTTCTATGCAACTAATGTATACCTTCAGCAGTGTTCATGTAGGCATGTAATACTGGAAGAGATCTGGATGAATTCCAACTTATTTAACCCTTAAAATGTTACTGATTGGCAGGAAAGAATTGGCACTCCCGAAGCATACAAACTGCTTAAAAACCCATGCAGTCAGAAAATTAGGATCGGATTTAAAATTCACAGCGAATGAGGACACAGAAAGCGAGAGCTAACGTGGTCACGGTGTTGGCCCCATGGGAGGAGAAAGGGAATTTCGGCGGGGGTCGAACCTGTGCCCTTGAGCAGTGAGACCTTTTAGCCCCTCACGCGGTGGGTGCTCTCCAGGCCCGTCCAGGGTGCTCTGCCGTGGAGTCCACCACAGCCAGGATGAGCTAGGGAAGCTCATTTAGGCACTTAGTCTGGCGGAGGCGGGAGGCGGCATCGAGCCCCTGCAAGGGGCTGCATCAGACGCAGACACGGGAGGAGGATGCATTACCCTTTTGGGGGGAACGCCTCTCCCTGTACAGCACCCCTGTGCTCCCATGGTCCTACCTGGAAACCTGTTTCACACAGCACCCTCAAGCCGTGGCCCCACTCACCTCAGTAAGATCTTTAAGGGTTAATGGTTCCTGCTGCACTGGTTTTCACTGCATTGTGCCTGTTCAGACACCCTATACGTATTTTGGTGTGTAACCCTTTCAAAAGCTCTGGTCGCATAGCTTACGGAGGCGTACTAGAGCACGGCCCGTTTAACCACATGCCCCTCCGTGTCCTGTTTCATGTGCAGACACAGAATAGCCGTAATACTCGTGTGTGATTTGTTTTTTGAGTACAGTGTATTGCTCTTTTCTGAAACTTTTTCCTTTTTCTTTCTTTTTTTGTCAACTTTCTGCATTGGCAGAGCATCTTGGGATTGAATTTATGGGTATGGACCAATCATTCCTTTTAGCCTGCAGATTTTAGAGCCTGAGAGATAAAATCCTTTTTTTTTTTCTCCACCACCCCTTTTCGATTCCTAACCAATTTCTTTATGCTTTAGAAGGGATCATACAGCTATAACAACAACTCTTGTCGAAATGTCATCAGCAATCGGCTCCCTAGAATGGTAACAGTGACAGGATATTCCAGATATAAAGAGTTCTAGGAATTACAGAAGTAATGATAACATACTGTACATTCATTTTTCTGTTATAATTTCCGCTGGTTTTGACATCTGCTTTTGCTAATTTCCTCTAGAATTGCTGAATTTTGGAAGCATTTACTGAATACATTAAGCAAAGGGGCTAACAGAGTCTATAAAAAAAACTAATAAGCTGATACCTAATAAAAGCCGCTTAAAATTCTGCAAATTTGCAGTTTTGAGCTCTGTTTTCCAAGTAAAGGAAAGTAAAGGTTTATGTCTAAACCCAGAGCTAGGTATGAAAAGCAGATGCGTATACACATGTGAAAATGATATGCATAAATACATATGTTACTAGGCATGCAAATTTCAGCACTGACCTGAAAGCTATTTAGGACTTAGGTGGGAGCTTATGGCCAGGCTTCAGACCCTCGAGTCAGAAAACATATTCAGCATTCCTAATAACAAGTCCATACTGCACCCAGCCAAAAACTTTGACAGTGGGTACTATTTTTACACGAGAGCTTAAATCTGTTTCGTGAATGGACTACCTTTACCTGACAAACTTTTAGTAGTCAGGGGTACAAATAAGCATCTCTTGAGTAGGTTGACTGTAGGAGTTCAGGTTGGTTTTAGTTTGCAATCTCCTAAAGCCATCAACAGATGGGAAGAACCAGCCACTGACACTTTGCAAACCATGTTAGTTGAAGTTCTTATTGAAGATGCCCATGTGAAATGGGCACTTCACATTAAGCTCTGAATTATGGAACACCCACTATAAATCCAAATTCGAAATGTCTCTCACAACCCAGCGCATTATGATTGTTATTGCAAGGTAACACCAATTCTCGGTCATAACTACTAGACTGTAGTGGAAGATACATGGCTACATTAATATGTGATGAATTAAATTAAAATCCTAAGAAAGCTGTCTTGAAATTAAGCTCTATATATCAAACTTCATCAGTAACTGGGCAAGGAAGTTTTTAAAGCATTTTCAACTGCCTCTTGAAACAAACTGTTTTAAAAGTCCCCAGAGAACTGTAAGAAGAAAAACTTTAAAACAGAGCAAATTAAAGACCATATATACTATCAATTATGTATAAATTAGGGTGATGTGAAATTAATTGCATAACGTGCGTATTTGAAAGGCTGCACATAGAGGGATTTAACATCTTGATTTAAGACCCGTGTTGATTTGAATTTTCATAGCCTTCTCTAGGAAAAAAAAAATACTCACAGCATTTTTAATATTTAACAGGCGAAAACGATTTCTAAATTCTCACTGCACACACATTTCTCTGCGGGCTTTTCCCCACGGCTGCTATTAATTTCTTCTAAGCTAGTTCGACAAGCGCTTTAAACGCAGTGTGTGTTGCATTGCTGAATGTCATTAACTGGCTCTGTAAATGTTACACCAGTCTGGGAGAGACGTCTTGACTAGCAACAAGCCCAAATCGCCCTCGCGCGGCGTTAGCAAGGTGACCACCAGCTAGCACCGGGCTTGTTCGTACCATCCTCCGCCTGGAGTAGCCCTGCCCAGGCCGATGCGTCTTACGCTGAGCCCAACCACCATGCGGGCAGCGTTCCTCCTCCTCCTCCTCCTCCTCCTCCTCCTCTCCCTCCCCATCTCAGAAAAAGAATTTGATATTTATTTGTTTGTTTTGCTTTCCTGAGCTAACAGCTGACAGCATGACCAAAAACAAGCAACAAACAACAAACAAAAACTCAATACATTCAAAGCATTCCAAATTTACCGCTTAGCGCAATTCTCCTGTTTTCCTGTGATGTCCTCATAATACCCCGTTTCCATGGCTAACTAATAAGCGCTTTCAGAAGGGGCAAAACGGGAAGGGGGCCAGGTGCCACTAACTAGCCTAGGTGAGGAGTTATGCTGTATGACAAATCCCTTCACACTCCGCTTCAGTCTTTTTCTTTATCCCCAAGCATTTCTTCACTGTTTTTTTCCAGTATTACGCATGCTGCGCCAGGCCTGCAGTTGACTTCTCAACCCTTAACCTTATCATTCCCTGTATTTCACCTTTCTCTTTTTCCCTCTGTTCTGGTTTTTTGTTTTTTTTTTTTTTTTTTGGAGTTTCTGCCTTTTCTTCCCTCCCTTTTTTGACTTCCTGTCCTTGGAGTTATATTTTGTTTTCTTTAATACATTTTTGCAGCATCCTAGTTTTACCAAACTGACTTCTTCTACCCCCCAACCCTTGTTAATAATCAGTGCTATTAATTTTGTCTGACGGTGCTCATGACCTGTTTGTTGGTGTTTTGGTTTGCAGTGGGGTTGGCTTGTAAGAAGAATTCTTTCCATGGTAAGGTGCATTGTATCAGAGAAATTAAGATTTCTTTTCATTCACTTCTTTGTTTCATGGAAGATTTTCCATTCGACCTGACTCTTGGGCTGCAATAGCTGCTTCGAGACTGGAAAATCTTAAAGGGCTCATACTCACGTGATGTTTTGCATATCTCAGCAGTGGGTATTGGGCAGTACCTGCACTGGCACATAGCCATGCATGAACAGTTGGCCACAACGTTTATTGAATTAACTAACAGGTTTTGCAGATGAGTGAATTGCGGTACTTGACACCGCATTTCTGAAGGAATAGCTTCAGCAGCCTCAGAGAGCAGCCACCTT